GTTTTCATTACTCACATCTTTATTTTGGAGTTTAATATATTCAAATATTCTTTCAGCATAATTAATACTAGAATCATTGTTACCGTATCTTCAGTCTTAATATTTTATTTTGACAATAACTTTTCTATGACTTAATATAGAGATGACTTACTAAAAATGAATGGATAAGATAGTTTTGCCTTATGATGGTTCTGTCTTTAGGAATAAACTAGAATTATGTAATCATTGAGACTAAGTTCTTTTGGAGTTTTGTGACTAGCAGAGAAACCTGATTACACTTCCCTCCCCATGTGGTTCTCCTGCTCATTTGCTTTTCTTGCCTGATTATAGCTGTTTTGTAATGCCCTCTCCTCCTCTCTCCTTATGCCATCAGAAGATACTGTAATAGAATGGCCTTAATCACACTTGGTATACTTACTTAACACTTAGTTACTAAATGGACTTCTGGTACAAATTCAAAATTGAGTTGTTTTTCAAGACTTGTCTTCTTTATGATACCTAATACCTTGCCTCATTTATCTTTGCCAAATGATATTTGTTATCTAAGAATATTTGTGTAATTTTCTTGTGTAAGCTAAGAATACTTAATTATGTGATTGATCCATCAAGTTATTACAGCATTTAATGTATGGTTTTGTGTGTTTTTTTCCCTAAAAATCAAGAACTTTTAGGACTTTTGCTAGGTAGAATTTCAGAGGAGCAAAGGAATAGTTTGCAAAAGTTACTCTTAGATGATGAGTCTTTAAACCATTGCATTTTTCCAGGACACACCTGAAATTGAAAGGTTGGTGATGACTGAATATATTACCCCTCCTATCATTAAAAATGCCCGATAGCATCATATAAATTAATTTTGAGCAGAAGTCTGTCACAGGTGTTTCTACAGCACTGAGGGAATTAATTCTGTGAATTTAGCATTACCATGATCTTGTATTAATGAGCAGTTTCCATTTTGGGCATTTTGAGTTTGAGGTACCTAAGGTATCTATGACTATGCCCAACAGGTAAGGAAAGTTAAGGTGGTGTTATTAGTATTTACTCATAATTTTTTAAAATCATGAAACTTGCCGAGACCATTGGCTTCAGAGGAGAGATGGAACAGATGGTTTATGACGAGTTCTGTGTCTTCCAGCAATTGGAAATAGGGTGAGTGAGAGTCAGAGGAGAGTCTAGGGGCAGTTTAATACAGAGACTGTTTTAATGGAAGTTGTACATGCTCAAGGTAGATTGCTTTGTAGACTAGATTTTTTTTTCTTTTTTTGAGGTATAATTGACACTTAACAGTATATCAGTTTTAGGTATACTACATAATGATCTGGCATATGATTATATTGTAAAATGAGCACCCTAGTAAGTTTAGTTAACATCCATCAAGACAAGCAGCTACAAAAATTTGTTTTACTCTTGTGATAACAGTATTGTTTAACTGCAATACAATATTGTTTACTATAGTTACCATGCTATATGTTACGTCCTCAGGACGTATCTTATAACTGGAAGTTTGTACCTTTTGATCACCTTTATCTGTTCACTCATTTTGCTCACCCCCGAACCCCTGCATCTGGCAGCCACCAATCTGTTCTCTTTATGAGTTGTTTTTTAAAAAAATATTCCACCTATAAGTGAGATCATACAGTATGTGTCCTTCTCTGTCTGACTTATTTCACTTAGCATAATGCCTTCAAGGGCCATCTGTATTGTTGCAATTGGCAAGATTTTCTTTTTTATGGTTGAGTAATATTCCATTATACATATATAGCACATTTTCTTTTAGATTCCTTCATCTGTTCACTTAGGATGCTTCTATGTGTTGGCTATTGTAAATGATGCTCTAGTGAACATGGAGATACAGATATCTTTTTGAGAAAGCAATTTTGTTATCTTCAGTTAAATACTCAGAATTAGAATTGCTGGATCATACGGTCATTCTATTTTTAAATTTTTGAGGGACCTCCACACTGTTTTCTGTAGTGGCTGTACCAATTTACATTCTTACCAATAGTGTAAACCGATTCCTTTTTCTTTCTCTCCTTGTCAACACTTGCTGTTTCTTGTCTTTTTGATGATAGCCATTCTTACAGGTGTGACATGAGAGTTCATTGTGGTTGTGAATTGCATTTCCCTGTGGATTAGTGATGTTGAACACCTTTTCATATACCTGTTGGCCATCTGCATGTCTTCCCTGGGAAAATGTCTGTTCAGATCTTCTGCCTATTTTTTATAGATTGTTGCTTTTTTTTTTCTATTAAGTTGTATGAGTTTTTTATGTATTTTGGATGTTAACCCTTTTACCAGATACATGACTTGCAACGTTTTCTCACATCTAGTAGGTTGCCTATTCATTTTGTTGTATGTCCTTTGTTGTGCAGAAGCTTTTGAGTTTGGTATAGTCTCACCTGTTTATTTTTGCTTTTGTTGCCTTTTATGGATTGTTTTTTTTACCTAAATATTTGGCATATTCTTTGGAAGATTCCAAGCACCATTCTGAATGTTTTTGGGGAAGATGGTTCTGTGCAGTGCTGGAATGTGTGCAGTAAGAGATCGCATTACCAGTGAATCATTAAAATTGGGATATAGTGTCTGTCCTTCCCCCCAGCCCCACTGCCTCTTCAGGACTTAGATTGTGTGAAGTCACCAAATTGTTACTCAGGTTGAAAGTGCTTGCCAGAAAATTCTCATTAACATGGATGTCTTTTGGCTTTTCTCTTATAATTTTGTCTTTCTCTTAAAATAAGTAAGTCCATTATTAAAGTTATTTTACTTATTTTAAACTTTATTTTTTATTTTATTTTTGAAAAGTTATCATCAACATGAAAAATTTGAGATTCACAGGGAGTCTTTTTTTAAACATTTTTTTATTG